TGGAAAAAAAATTGGGGTGCCCATGCTCGTTGGTGAGCTAGAGCCATTTTTCAACTGACAGAGCTCAATATCAAGGCAAATCCGTCATGTTTTCAATATTTGCGTGCACAAGCGCGTGCTAATGACGCCATAAATTATGCGCAGTAAGGATGCGCAATGCAAATGTGAGGAATGACCTTAAATATAATGACCTAAGAGTACTTAACTTAAATTGTTTTTGGTGAGCAAATATGCCAGCTTATCTATGCGTATTGTTACACCATTGTTGTGATTATAAGCCTGGACAAAATTCAATACAATTAAGACCAATCAGATTCAAAATGCACGTTATTTGCCACGGCCAATCAATATTAAATAAACACATTACTTTGGCTAGAAATTATTAATATTTGTTTCTGCTAAGAAATACAATAAGTTATCATGTCTATAAGTAGTCCTGTGACATTAGATGCACAGCAACACCACTCAATCATTCTGAGAAGACTCCTGGCTTTTGCAGACATGAAAAGCTTGAAGTAGTTAAGGGAGATGTGTTTGATGCGCATTCAATAACTCCAGTTCTTGAGGGCAAGAATGCTGTGATGTCATGTCTGGGTTTTCAAGTAGGAGCAAAAACACTTTATTCCAAGTCAATAACATCCATAATAGCAGCAGCAGAAAGGTAACTATAAACTTGTATTTCATTTGAACATTTCATGTAAGATTCTCCTTAATAAAGTTAGCATCCATATAAGAACGTTGTGTCTAAGAACCTGTTATGATTGAAAATTGAAACTTGTTGGTGCCTTAAAATTGTGTTGCAGTACATTGAGCATAAAACCTGGGGTCAGTTCAATAAATAAATTACACTTATAGTTTTTACACGTGTAATTTTCACGTGTAAAGTCCTGCTTGTAAAAGATTCAATAAAAGTATTTCCTACACTGGAATTTACACGTGTATTGCGATTCAGGATACAAGTGTAAATTACAGTTGTAGTCTTACAATTGTAAAATCCGCTTGAATGCACATATATTTTTACAAACGCAAATTTTAATATCTTCCAAAAGGTGGATGAAGGCGTCCACAGGGAAACGAAACTTCCCTTAAATTTCGATGTCAAAAAGCTGTCTTCCTTAACAATTCCTAGCTTCGCCGATAATTTGACGTCTCAGGAGCTCGTCAAGTTCTTCTTCACTTGAAGACGACATGTTTTGACGCTCCAATATCTGTTTCACATGTCGTACTCAATGTTTACAAGTGACTTGCGACTTGTATTTTACACTTGTGATTTACAAGTTGGACTCTCGTAAAAGTTTTATTAAATTTGATTCTTACCATCTTTTGCATGTGTAGCGCTACACCTGTAATTAAAAGTCGGACAGTTGTAACCTGGACTTGTAACGATTTTTATGAAACTCGTTTTCGTCTGCGCTTGTAAATACAATGGTCCGATTTGTAGATTACAAGTGTAAACGTTTTACTAAATTAATCCCTGAAATAAATCAAAGAATTGATGAATTTTGGTTCAGCTGAATGCAATATTTCAAGATCTTTCTATTTTACAAATTTGATTCCAGAAGAGGGTAATATAAAACAGATTCATTTGTATAGTTGAAGCCGAAAGAAGTGGTTACTTTCCTTTCAAGTTTGTCGTTAGTAGTCCAACTAGTTCTCAGTTAACTTTTACTGAGTTTGTTATAATGTGTATAATATTTCCGGTTTATTTTTAGTTTGGTATTACTTCGTTAATGTTTTTTCGACCTTACAAAACTACAACAAATTGCTTCACTTTGAAAGTATTGTTTTATAATCATGACGTTATCGTCATTGCTATAGAGACATTCTGAGTCCTTTATTAGACATTTGCATAATTAATGCAGTTGAATAGCATAAACACTTTCGCACGAATGGAATCTGGTTGCACGTTTAGGCTAGGTTTGAAACGTTAAATGAATAACATCTCGTTCACTAAGCTTGATGGTTTAGTGCGCAGGATATTGTTAGACGTTTAAAACCTAGTCTAATTAAAATTAAAGGTGCATTTTTCTAATTTTTTCTCCAAATATAGTTGACTTCGTTTTCTTAATGCATGACTCGTTGGTTATTTCCATAATCGCCTTAACAGTGGCGTCATGATGACATCGAAACAAGTGGTTTTTATCGTTTATTTTAGCTTGCAAATTTTGTTGTTGCTGTTTTTTCTTCTTTGNGGGGGGGAGGCTGGGAAATGGGTGAAATATGCCCCAAAACTAAGTCATACCCCCCTCACATAATGATAATATTAAGGCTAACCCCTCGCCCCCTTGAAAAAAGTCTCCCCCATTGATTCCCTCATACCTAGTTAACTTGTTGGAGTTCTTCCTCCGCTATCATCACTTCAAATGACTCTTCGACGTATGCCGAAGAGTCATTTGAAGAGTCATCAGAATCACTGGACTCTGAGGTTGTGTCATCTTCGCATGAATTGGGAGATTCCTCATCTTTTACAGCATCTCTGGCACTAAGGTTCCCGCGTGCGTGGGTGAGAATTCGATCAATCAACTCGGCCTTGCTTCCACTTATCTTAAGACCTTTTTGCTTTAGATACATTTTCAGCTGCTAGTTGGAAAGCGCTTTTACATGTTTTTCAATTGTCCAAGAAATAAGCGGAAGAATGTTCCTTTCTCTTACTCTTTTTTTGGCTTTTGCATCGAGGAACTCCAGGTGCTGTACATAACTTTTACAGGCAGTCTCGTCCACGTTGTACGGGGAACATACCTCTTGCAAAGACCTTTCTTCAGAAGAGGGCAATTTTCCCTCGTTGAACAATCTCTTGTAAATTTCACATCCACCCCTCCCCCTCTCTCTTGTTGTCATTTTCTTCTATGCCCCCTCTAATTTTTCAACCCCTTCCCCCTCCAGGTAATTATTGCACAGTCCCTTATTGGATAATTAAATCAGAAACTTTACAAATACCCCCAACGATTTGCCAAAACGTCACTCCCTTTCCCGGCTGAACCTTCAGTCCACTGCATTTCACGTGGTGAAATGTTTCCTAAAACCGTAATGTGAAGGATTGGACCAGGCAAATGCATGGGCAATTAACCCCCTAGATGCCAAGCGCCAGTAAATGTAATGGAAGAGCAACACTTCCCCTGTTCAATTAACGTAACTATATTTCATTTACTGACATTCAGTGCCTGAGATCCCCAAAATCCATAGATATACTCAATTTATTGAAACATCACTCTTGCTCATATTCAATGCATCCTCAAGTATTCGAGCGTGCATTCTACGAAAGGACATTTGTTTCAGCTGTGTTTAGTTTTGATTGTAGCTTTCTAATATACAATATTTCCTTCGTGCCTTGTAATTCAAAGGCCATCGCCCAAGTCTGGTTTACAATGGTCTCGTCCTTCAGCGACACAAATGTAATGTAAGACTATGTTTTACCGTACAGTAATCTATGATACATACAGACAGACATATAGCCCAAACTGAAAACAAAGGCACTGACAAACAAAATTCGGGGCTTATGAATTTCCCTGGCGTCGACATTATGACATCACATGCGACAACAGCTTTTTTGCTCTCTGGTAATATCGGCTATGTACCCAAAGCGCCAACGCGTGGGAACTCACTTAAAACTGCCGATTTTTGCCGGTATCCAATTCTTTCAATGCATGCAAACTTTCATTTTCGACCGTATATCTGACAATTTTACGAGAAAATGTTCAAACAATGTACTCTTTCACAAATATAATTTTGCTTTCTGTTTTTTAATCCTGCGTTTCACTTTTCTATGGGACTCACAAGGGGTTTTCCTTATAAAAGTGTTAAATAATCACTTAGCAACGCGTCCCATCAGTCAAATTCCGTGTCACGCCTTCTTGCCAATGGCCACACACTTTCTGTCCCAATCATGAGTGTCTAGTGACGATAGCATGAAGTCTGCGACATCAGCTCTTGGTATGAACATTGGAGCGCCAGGTACAAACTGCCCTTCCATCACTTTATAGTCGCTCTTGGCTGGATCTGGAAAATACCAAAGTTAAAGTGTCTCTTGACCGAAACGGAACTGCAATTTTGGCACCCGCTCAGTTTCGTATAAAGCGAGTCTGGTTAAGCCATGGTAAATATTTATTTACAAAAACTTTATTTAAGAGTCAAACCATATAGCCTGGAAGAAACCCATACTAATAAAGGGACACAGACTAAAACGCATTTTGGCGATACCAAACAAGACTGATATGTAAGTTTTTGCCGTATTCAACGCCTGCCAAGTCAGAGTGTGACTGGC